GCCACCATCTAGTGGTAACTCAACTCGACACTCCGCATCCCAGAGGTGCAGCAGCACCGCCGGAACCCGGGTGCTGCTGGGGGTTGCACGGATGCAAAGTGCAATTTGCTCGCCTGCGGCTGGTGGGGGCACTCTGCGGACGAACCATAAAAACCAGCGGCTTAACTAGGATGAGGTTTGTGCCACACGTGTCATCCTGCTCTGCTCCTTCCTGTAATGAGTTTTTAGAAGTGCCCTTGCACTTGATGCCGTTCTGTGGCTCCATGGCCTCGGTCTCTGCTCGGCTTTGGGAAGCTGCTGGTGGAGGAGGGACTGCGGAAGGCGGGGGTGGGGATGGCAGGGGGAGAAAGCAGAGCCAAGTGATGCGTGTGGACGCATATCCACCTGCACATACGCAGCTCTCGTGGGGTTTGCAGGCATTCATCCCCTGGAAGGGCTCTGCAGCATTTTTTGACCCCTGTGGGCAAAGCCCAGTGTTGAACCAGAACCCCGGGTGGGAGTCTGGAAATCATCCTGTGCCCACCTTGCTGCGGGAGAGGGCAGTCAGGTTTGCAGGGCACTTTGGAAGGGCTACCCTCTGCCTGGTGTCATTGAGAATAATCTGTATAACTGCTTTCCTGGCCTGGAATTGCTCCTTGAGCTGCCTTTTTTTTTTTTTTTTTTTTTAAATGCACACACTGCACTGAGCTGGAGAAATGCCTGGGCTCCCCCATGGGCACCATTTATTACCCAAATCTGAAGAATAGATACAAAGGGGATAAAAAGCTGATGTAGGCCAGGAAAGGAAGAGAAGGCGTCCTGTGGGTGTCATCTTTTGGCATTTCAGACATGGGAGAGAAAGACCAAAGGGAGAAGGAGGGGTGTTGGACATGTCTGACCCCACCGTGGGTATCTCTGGTGTCTGGAGCATGGACATGAGACCCTTTCCCATGGCCCCTCTAAAAATTTCAAAATCCTCGGGTTGTGAAAGCAAAATGCAATTAAATATAACCCTTGTCAATACTGTTTGAATTATCACAGTGAATGAACCCCAGGTTTGATCTGGTCTGCTGTTTTATCAGGGCATTTAAGTAAATTACTTTTCCATATGAAAAATGCTGAGGTGGTTTGTTAGCTGATCAAAGAACATGATGGACATGAATGCACTGCACGGTGCTCACTGAATAATCATAGTAAGCAGGGATCTTTCAAATCCTGAAGCAACAAACTTCAATTAGGTGGGAGAGATTCAATTATGCTTTAAAGGGAACCTGGCTACGAGTGTGCAGGATATGGCAGGAAAATGTATGCAAAAGAATTTCATGGAAAAGATCAATTATTTTATCAATAGGACATGCCAAGTGGAATTTACTCATCAGTCCTGAACTGAGCCTTTTAAGGAGATGATACATGGACCAGGATGGATTTTGGCCTCAAGAAGGTTTAAGTGAGTTTGATTAATTTGGGTGCAGTTATCAACTGAGGTTTTGGTCCTGTGGCTTCATGATATTTAGCCTTGGATAATGGATGTTGTAACAGCAATGTAGGACTTTGGCAGCGTGTCCCAATCCCACTTCATTAAGATAAAATTGTAGAAATTTAATTGGGTTTGAATCTGAAAGTGCTGGTTCTTTCTCCTCCACCATCTCTGCATAATGTTAATTCAATGAAAAAAAGCACAGGGAAAAGCCAAACACTTTTTTTGCAAAAGAACACAGACATTTGAATTTAATAAATTATAAAATTAAAGATTCTAATTTGTATATACATTTTTAATATACAAGAAATGGCTATTTATTGCAATTTCTGTTAAGGCATATGTAAGTGAATGGAAGTTGCATATAGATATTCAGATGAACATAGCTAATACTGTGCATTGTAGGTGAGTAAATAAGACATTAAATGCATTACTTAATAAAATAAAACATAAAACCCTTTGAGTACTGGTAAAGCACCGTTTCTAGAATTCTCAAAATATCTGAAAGCATTCTATGGAGATGTTGTGAGACTCTAAATATTGAATGGATATATGAATATAAAAAGTGATGCACTCATAATAGATTACAGAAATTTTTAAAGGAATGTTGGTGAAAAAAATGGCAGATGATTGGAGCCAAGGGAACTAGAATTTGTTTGGGATTTTTTTAATGAGAGGCTATCACATGGATTGTAAGTTTAGACAGAAAAATGACAACTAAAAAAGCTTTGTACTTGCATGGTTAGGTCACAGATGCACTGCTTCATGGGAGCACAGTGCTTTAGCTCTCAGATCTCTGAGATGGTCTTTGCAGGAATATATTTATTTATAAGCCTGCTTTTGTTTCTGGTTACATTAAAATACCACTTTCTGCTCATTATGTCTCAAAATGCAGCACCTGGGCAACAGCAAACTGGTTACAGAAGGCGCGTTATAATGATGCTCTTGCCCAATTACAGCATTTTAGAAAAGATGAAACGGTTGTCAAAGTCCAACCAAGCAAAACAAAAAAATAAAAGACCAAATTTTCCACTACATGACATGGGACAAAGATCAGTTGAGAGGAAACCCCCACCTGTTGCCTGAGGCTGCTTTTTGTTTATCAACAGAGTCCTGTGTTGGGTTTTCCAGTAGAAGTGATGAACATGTTCTTAGGAAACAACCATTATGGGGAACTGCTGAAAAAAACCCTTCTGAAGAACTCATGGCAGCTTGAAAAGAAGGCATCTTTTCTGGTCTGAAGAGACTTAACTTCCCCCCCCATAAAGCAAGACTGTGAAGGGAAAGCAGCTGGTGGCTCTGCTCCATGAGGAGATGGACCATCAGCCTCTCACTGTCTTCAGCAATCTAGACTGAAGCTGCTCCTTCAAATATTTCAGTGTTCCCCAAATAACAGCTAGAGAAATATTCGGTAGAATTAAAACGGTGAGAAACAAATCAAATTAAATCTCAAAAAAAATCTCCCTTCCTAAATGCAGATGCCACAAGGCATTGCATCGGGTCTAATGAACACTGGACCTAATGTAGCACCAGACCAGCCCTCTGGGAGGCTGCTCCTGCTCCCTGAGGCAGCAGTTTCCACCCTATCTGGAAAAATGCTTTTTTTGAGCTGTGGGCACTGCCTCCTGTGGTTTTTCTTCACATTGCCTGGTTGACTAAGCCTGTTCCAAAAGCTAAGGCAGAACAGAATCTATTAGATGAGTTATCTCAGGATTCTGGAGGTCAGAGCAATGAGTCTCCCCAGAGAGGAAGACTGGTACCATCCAGGCAGCAAATTTCTACCTCCCCATCCGCGTAAATCCAGCCCCAACCCCTTTCTATCCTTGGGTTTGTAAGGTTTTTCCTAAGTTTCATATGCTTGGATGTGCTTCTAGGCTATGAAAAAGCTGGGGGTTGTGGCTTATTTTTATTGTCCACAGAGCTAAAAGAATATTAACTTGAAGGGGAAAAGATGAGCTTTATCCTAACCACATCTGTGTAAAGGAAATGTGGAAGGCAAGAAATACTATGACTACAGGCTGGGAGCCCAGATACAGCTTGTGTCTCCCATGGCACAGCAGCTGGAATGCTGTTGATTTAGACACGTCTTCCTTGCTTATAAATAGCATGGTGGGGTTTTTTTTTCCCTTCAGTGCTCATTTCTACATTGCTCTGTTTTGCACAGATGTGACCTGACCCTACGCTGTTACCAAAACTTGTCCTGTCTGTAGGCAACCACAAATCCCTTGGCACAAGGCTCCGGCAGCCAGGCCATGGAGCAGGGCTGGGACAGGACTCTAAAGATAAGCACCCTTTGACTGTAGGAAAACACTCAGTGTTCCAGGAGTTAAAGTCTGTGGTGGGACTCCTGCTGCTGTGCTGCCAAACTGCAGGGCCTGAGTTTTACTTTTCAAAACCAGAACAGATTGTTGCTCGCGCTGGCTTCTGCTTCCACATCTGCTGCCACGTCTGCTTGGCCCAGGAGATGTTTCCCAGCGCTCTGGACTTTTACCAGGCCTGTTATGCTTCCCTGTCTTCGTGGTCTTTGGTGTAACTCCCATCCCTGCACTACCTGAGCTGCTCCAATTGTATCACCTTGGTGCTCTGGAAGAAGGGGCGCTCGATGCCACCACACCAGCTGAAAACATTCCTTCTCTGCTCTGGCCAGTATCTCCATTTTTCTTAGACCAGGTGTTGTGCTTCAAAGACTTCTGGCCACAGTTCAGTCCAGAACAGTCCCACATTTTAGGTGCTGCAAAGTCTGAGGTTCCTGCAGGCTCTCACCTCCTTTCCAGCAGGAATGGCTTGTTTGGAAGAGGACACTGGGCAGCTCATTCAAATTGTGGTGGTCGAGGGCACAAGGCAGGGTCGCAGGGAGCCACGTGTGGCTCACCTTGCAAGACCTGTGAAGCTCTTTGCCAGCAGCCAGACCAGAGAAGAACCCTCACATTGCTAGAAACGCAGCACATTCCCAATATTTGTGTGACTGTACATATGGGCTTATTGATGGCACCACTTCAAACCAAGACCAGCTCAGGCTGCAGGATGAGATCTTACTCTCAGACTGGAAAAATCTGAACTGGGAGCCATCAGACCTACCTCCTGCTAAACAGAGGATTTCAGGGAAGCCCTGGGCTCTGCAGGAGGTTTACCAGCAAAGAGGAAACAAGTGGAAGAGTCCCAGCCAGGAAAAAAACTGCTCAGATGTCACCCACAGCAGGAACCAGTCCATGCTCCCTGTCTTGGTGGTGTTAGAGCCAAGCTGAATTCATCTTCTGTTCTCCAACCAGGAATTCAAAATGACCTGTGAAAACCATGATGACCCTGAGGGGAAAGGAAGTACTCAAAGGGTTGTCAGGTTATACATCTTAAAGTTTCTAGCAGACCTGGTGCTGTGAATACACGTGTGTGTGTTTGTGTAAGGGCACAGCAAACAGTTGTTCACTTCTGCACCAATAAAGCTCTCCTAAGGAAAGCAAGATAATACAAAATTATTTCCTTGAAAAAAACCTCAGCCTATGGGGGGGAAAAATAATGTTTTTCTTAACAAAGCACCAAAGAAAAGACAACAAGAATCCAGTCATCTTTAAGTTAAACAGAATGTGGGTAGAAAAAAAAAATCAGACCAATAAAAAAAGCACCAACCAACAACGATCACTGAGGCTGTTGCATTACAGGAATTTAAAGACTACCAAAAATATGGATAATTGTAAACAGAAAGAGTAGGATGTTGTCAGTCCAAGTTGGCCAGATCTACCCTACTAAATTGTCTTGTGTGCATCCAAAAGTTTAGGAGAATCCTTTGAAACTGTTTATGGAAGTATGTAAACTACTGTTTGCTGGTTTTTAATTTACACATAAATATAGGGCTACAGGATTTTCTATATATTATCGAACACAGACCCGGTTCAGAAAGGTACATGAGCAAATGCTGAGCTGTGACCACAGAAGCAGCTCTGCCAAAGTCATCAAACTGAGCCTGGCACATCCTTAGGTACCTTCCTGAACCGGGCTGTGTGAGTACCAGGGTTTATGCAATGCACAGAAGCATCACAGGATTGCTGACCACCTGCTTGTCAGTGTTAAAGGGATTTATTACAGCTTGGGACTGCTCTCCTCCATACTAAGTGTAACTCCCATTACTATTCCCAAGCAGTTTTACACAGGCATAGAAGACTTAAAAGAGCCCATAACCAAGAAACCTGCTAACCTGGCCTAAGTATTACGGTTTGTTTGGATTCAGTGGAACACTGTGGGGATATTGCACTAATACTCTGCCGTACCCTGTACACCTAACCTAGCCATCAAACTGCTCAGATTAGCACTTATCAAACAATCTGTCATTTCCATTTATAGTAGGCTTGAGAATTTGGCATCTCTGCCATAGCACCACTTTGATTTTTCCCCATTTTTAGTCTCTACGACCCGGGCAATACTATGATGTTTGTAACATCTCTATAAGAGAAAAATGTTGTTTGTGCCATATTTCCGTTTTAGTTTATTTTCCTAAGAGTCTCTTTTTTCATTTTCTCAGCAATCAGCTCCTGAATTCTTTGATTCCTTGTCCTTTCATAAGGTATCCTCCTCCGTGTAATGATGTTGTGCTGTGGTACTTCGTTATCCAACCCATCAACTTTATAGGGAACATCCACTGCATTGATTTCTGGGTGCTCCTCAGTTGCATTGGAAGGGGGTGCACGTGTTTTGGAAACCTGAGGAGGGCTGGTGGCAGACTGGGTGGTGGATGCTCCCACGGGAGGGCTGAGGGTTGTCAGGAGCTCCTCCTCAATGACATTATTCTTATTTACATTAGCATCGGTTACATTGCCGTCCTCTGTTATGTTGCTGTACATGTTACAGGACTTGCAACACAGCTTATTGTAACCAGGGATGGAGCAGTAACGAGAGAGAACTTCCATGCGACAAAACATTGACTTGTCTCCTTGACAATGATCTTCTGAAAGAGAAAAAGGGAACAGATAAATAAAGAGCATCTTCACATTAATCAGAAAAAGAAACACAGCTGAAGCTTTGGCAGTGGGCAGAGGGTTTGATATTTAAAGTGGGATGTGAAACTGGCAAATGAGCCTTCTATAAGCAGAAGCAGGATTAATATTAAACCTAAAACTCAGCTCACTTCAAGGGCTGCAAAAGCTGATCTGAACTGTTTGTACCAGCCCCATCCAAGCTCTAGATCATAACACTCGAATTTTTTGGCCTCACATTCTGGAAGTGCTACCCTGAACACAGTGCAGCCATGATGAATTGCCTTCCTGTCTTGGTTGGAACTTCAAAACACACTGATAGTGCCATCCACAGTCAGGTGTAACTTATATTTATCTGCAACTTCTCAGGAAAGTCTTATTTTGATGTGTACCGTGTAATTCTCAGAATTAATCCACCTCCCATTGGAGTGATATTTTCACCAGGTACCTCTACTCTCAAAACAACAGCCTTGCCTCAGCATGTCCCTGGCTCAAGAGAAAAGCAGGGCATTTATCGTGAGGCTTTTCTCCTCCTCCTAGAAGGGAGCTGATATTTTTGGAACAACAAACTCCAGCGCGATGGAGCCGAGCCAGTCCATTGATAATTGGGAGACCCAGCAGTAAACAAGTCCCAATTTTTGTGTCACTGACTGAAAAACTGTAATAAAAAAGAAATAATGACAATCAATAAGCTTTAAGCTGCCAATAGCTGTTGTGACAATTTGCACTATAAAAGAAGTGTTACGGCAGATCCTGATCTTGCTGAAATACGGGTGGCAAATTGTAGGCTGAGGCATTAAAGTTGAACTGGTCAAACAATGCTACTGCCTGAGAAACATAAATAGAAGCCTACTCAGAGATTACTCAAGCCCTTCTGCTCAGAGGAGGTAGAGGACCATATGAATTGGTGGCAGATGGATGGTGAGGTGTTAGCAGGCTCCTTGGAGAGAAAGCTACCTGTCCTCTGTCCTACATACACACTCCTCAGCTCCCGTGCCTCCAGGATGAAGTAACAGAGCCAGACACTGCAGTGGAGGAAAAATCCCAACACGCAGCCCATGATGAGAGAATCCTCAAAGGAGAGGAGAGGGCTGAGGAGAAAGGCAGACTGACCAACACTTGGCATCATCAGTAACAAAACATTTTCTCTGTGACCAGAGTGCTGAGACAGATGAAATCACTTCTGTCTCTCTCCCTGCTCTTACTACATTTCCACCTACTCTTACAGTAAAGGATGAGTAACTCCAATTACTCGCCTTTATTTAGAGTGCACCCGATGGCAGACAGAGTCAGCCTCTTACTGAAGCTCATATTTCACCCTCCTGCTACGAGCACTGACTTGTGTCAGCAGCCTCACAGCACAAGAGAGAAGCAGAGCAGATTCAGATACCAAGGGAACTCAGAAAGCGTAGGTGCTGCCTCTTCACTCATCCTCAGTTAACAAAACAGGGCATTGTAGGTGTTTAATTGGCAAACATATCAGTCTAAAATAAACTAATAACTAGTGCTGCTGCTTTAAAAAGCTGGTGCTGGCTGAGGAAAGTGAAAACACCTCCCTTACATTGTATCTATACCCTGATTGTTGCATTTGCTGCAGAAAAGCAAAATTGTGGTTCCTACTTTCAAATGCACCAGTTCATTTTCATATTTTTCACATGCTAAACTGAAATGCTGCTGGAAATACAGAATGACTCCTTCCTTAAGAACCTAAGAATAGTGCTTTGGTTTTGGAGAAATTTTCAAACCAGCCTTTAAGAGCTGGAAGTGTTCATACCTGCGTGCACAGCTCCATACAAAGGCCTGCATGTGCCTATACAGCTTTATATATGTTTTTACATACCCCATAAGAGTCCCCTTTGAACATTTTGCCTTGTGTTGCATGACCCTTATGCATGTTCCTCCACGTGGCTTGCAGAATAAAAGCCAACAGATACAACATTTAAACGTGGTTTCAACAAGGCAGGGCTGTTCTTGGCTTTGTAAGGATCACTGAAAGCACCTTTAGAAAAATGCCTTTTTTTCCTATTAAAAATATGCAATGTCAAGCTTAAAAGTACACAGAAATAAACCTGCATTATGTAATAAGTTTAGGGACATCTGATAAGTTATATAAATAAACTCTGTAACTTCTGAATGTCAGAATGAAATTTTGATCCTCTATCCAAAGCAAAATATCCAGATTTGCTGAACTTTTATTTATTTTTACTTGCAGTATGCATGACAGACTGGAAGTATATATTCAAAACATCAGTAAGAAAAAAATAAATCAGTTTCACAGTCACTTTGGTACACATTAGTCTCATAAAAAAATATTGAAAAGCAAACTGAATTGGCACATCTTTAATATTATGTTAAATACATACAAAACACTAATAAAATATCCCTGATAAACCAAAGTGCATATAGACATAGTGCACAATGCCCAGATACCTTATTGCACCATTCTCTATAGCCACCCATCTCTTGAAACATCACTAAACATTGTCTATTTAAAGGTAACAGTCATGAATATATTTATACAGTTAAACACCAATTATTTTACATAACAGTATTCAGTGCCAGATACGTGTCTTTGCTTTTTCACCTTGTCATGTAAATTGTTAACATGTTTCAGGAAATTATCATATTAACAGCAAAATTTAAATATGTGATCACATGATAATGACAAGTTTGAAGTGCTACACTGTTGACGACCCAAAGATTCAAAAATGCCACTTTTCCAAAAAATATGATCAAAGCAATAAGGTAGTAATTTGCTCCAAGACTGCAGTTTTACAGTTGATACATTTCTACTATTGGTACTGACTGTCACAAACAGGTTTATGACTTGTGAATTCCAAATCTTCAACACAAACACGGAAGGTGAAGCACGAATGCCAGTTAAATTTCAGTAAGTCAGGCCACAATCCTGTCTTGATGAAGATATGGATATGCACTGTGCAAATTAACCTCCAATTAAATTTACTGCCTTCCAATAGTTATCATTCAAGTAAAAACACTCCATATGAAGATTAACTCAAGGTACCAGTGTACTGTTTATATTTAAAGCTGGATCTGGTAAATTAATGCCATTTACATTTCAACATTAAGGCATTTTTCTAAAATTCTTCTTCTAAGCAAAAAAAAAGCAATAAAAATTGAGGTAATTCTGTAGTAGTTCACACTGTTATGTTTGCCAGTTGACACATCTAAGAGCACACACACACATACACGCACACACACACACACAACCATACCAGTCAAATCAGACATGCACATGGTGAAAAAAGACCAAAGATGTAATGAGTATAAACAGCTCCGTGCTGAGCAGCTGGAGACATCGTAGTCATGAAAACATCATATTGCCTCCGCCACGCTGAGAAAAAACACCACCACGCAACCTTCAACATGGACCACGCCTGTTCTGCTTAGGGCTCGTTTCTAAAGTGAAAAGTACGCAAAACCGGCAAAAATTGTGCGGTGGGAATAAAATGAATGCAGCTTTTCTCGAGGAAAAAACACACCAAACCGCCACCGGGAGTTTGGCGAGAGCCGGCGGCGGCGTAGCAGCACGGGAAGGACCAACAGAAACTCAGCTTCTGCTTCCCAGTGAGCCCCTCCACGGGTCACAAATGTAAATGTGAGGGTCAGGGATAAAAAGTGAGCAGCAAGGGTGAGGAAAGCAACAGCCCCGCAAAGGAAAATGGAATGAAAAAATTCTTCCACTCATCAGACTACCCTGTCAGCGAACTGAAACCAGAGAGTTACGAGATTTCGGGGTTTTAGATAAAGGAGAACTTTAGCACTACAAGGTGTCATTATTGTGATGTGATCACATTCACAATAAGTTCTCAGTTTTGCTATCAAACTGAACATCAGGAACCAGTTAGAGCCTTTTTTCACCATCACCAAGCAACAAGCAAACCGATCCCAGCTCCCTTTCAGAGGACTGCAACATACTGTGGAGATCCAACTTCACACATCCAACACTTCAAGACCTCCACCACCAGTGCTACGCAAGCTCCAGAGAAGAAAGACACCGAGCACCAAGTGCCTGGTGTGAAAAAACAGATTCAGCCCAAGATTTAAACTTGGCAAAGTCAAGGGAACTTTCCGCATAGAGAGAAGAAGAGAGCAAAAGGCAAAGTCCACACTCGATGTGGCATGCATTTAAGGGCAAAGGCAGAGTTATAAATGGGTCTTTTACTTGAAGATATTTTCTGGATGGGGTAGTCTGGATCAGGTCTTGACAGCCATTGTATCATGTAGGTTTTCTTTGAAGGATCAGAAACGTTTCCTTGAATAGAGGGGAAAAAAAAAAGACGTAACACAACATATGTTAGACAGCATTAAATAGTTGCCCTGTCAGAAGGGGATGAGCTGAGAGAGTGAGTGGGCTCCAGTGGTGAAGGAGCCCAGGGAAGGATTATGACCAGGCTGTGTAGTCTTGGGCAAAGGGTGCTGTTTGGGGAGCTTGCTACACCTCGTGCCCAGCACTTGACAGCCAACACCAAAGACAGCCCGAAGGCCAGTTCTCCAGCAGCACTTCTCAGGGCAGTGCTACAAATGTCCTCAGAGACACACAGTCTGGTTTAGTTATACTGCCTTGTTAAAATTGTCATGTTGGAGACCATAATTGACAGCTTGCTTCTAATTAATTAGGAATCAAAAGCTACCCTGAGCGATACATCAGGAATAAAAGAAAAATATGAATTACTTTATAATAGGAATATGTAAAATGATCTCACAGGCATCATTTGCTAACAGCTGAAAAGCTAATAAGGATGAAGGCCTTATTGTCCTGGATTAAGAAGGAAAACAATTAATTATAGGTTTAAAAAATTTAATTAGATAACCCCTGCAGATGACTTGTGTCTGACAGAATGGAAAAGAAGCCTGGAACTGTCAATGGAGATGAGGAAAGCAAAGAGGCATCTTTGTACAAATTGCCCTTGCTTAGCCACAACCCAGCAGGCTCCTGCCAAGCCCTGCAGGTCTCAGGGGTGCAGGGCTGTTCTTGGGCAGTGCTCCTCACCCAGGGCAGCTGTGGGCTGCTGGGAGATCCAGCCATCCCCACTGTACTGGGTCTGCCCAGACTCTCATGCTGTTCTGGAGCAAGTGCTGCTCCCCAGCAGGAGAAGAGATTGACCACAGGCCCGAGAAGCCCATTGGCCACAGAACAGCTCTACATTTGGAAAATCTGCTCAAAACAGGGATTGTGGAGAACTGTCCCCCCAGGCAGACGTAGCAGACCAGCATAAATTTGATGAAGGCGTTGCAAATAAATAAATTAATACTTTCTCAACAAGTACCATACACTATAGAAGACAAGCACTTACTTGGGCACGGAGGTAGTCTGCAAATCCTTACGTTCTCTGGTTTATTCTCCTTGCACAGGCCGATGGCGTTGTCCCTGGTCCGGCACAGCACCGGGCGATCCTGTGTGCCATTGCCACAGCTGACGGAGCACTGGAAGGACATGCAGCAGTTAGACCCCAGTTCCACTCCTTTGGAAACAATGGATTAGAAATTAGCTTCTGAATTTTAAACTACTGCCCTTGATTTGAGCTGACAGGGTGTGTTATTTGAACCACTGCGGTACCCACGGTAACCAAGCGAGAGGAAGAACCACTCACTGCTTTTCGTGGTGCACCAGTGACTGTGAAACACTGCAAGAATGGGCTGAGCAATAAGCAAACAACTGTAAATGTGAGGCATCTATTCACAGAGGCATCCATTCACAGCGCCAGGGATGGCATTGCCTGTCAGAAATTAGTTGCTTGAGACCTCCAGACAGAGACTGACCTGTGACCAGGGTCCTATTCTCCACTGTGCAGGGCACAGCTCCCGGTTGCAGGGCCTCCTGCCCTCGGGGCGGTCGTTGTTGCAGTACTTGGTGTGAACAGAGCGGTTTGTGTTGTCGTGGAGGGGCTGGATGCAGCGAACGGATCGCACCTGATACCCTGTTTTCCCACAGGTTTTGCTGCAAGGCTCCCATTCTCCTGTAACCCATCTGGGTTGGTGAAAAGAGAGGAAGGTGAGTAAAATTCTCTCCTAAATTAAGTGAGCTCAAATCGTCAATCTCTAGCTCCGTAACACGGGTTCAACACGATGTCAACACTAGTTCTGATACAGAAAAAGAAGATGTGAAAAACCATAAGCAGTTATGGTGAGGATTATTTGAACATGCACCTGAAATATCATTAAGATGACACAGATGTTTAATATTACTTGTTCCCATTACTTCTGAGATGAGCGTAATTCTTACTTTGCCACATTTGCTTTGACTTTAAGCTGGCTTTTACAAGACTGCACATAAAAATATGGTAGCTTTTATGTCAAAAGCAGCCACCACGGGTGTTGCTGAGCTTCCCAGGTCTTGGTGCATGAGATGTGCCTTGTCTCATAATGTAGCATTCACCAGCCACCCCCACAGCTGGTTCCCATAGGAGTGAAGCCAGAACATCTGGACTACAAATGCAGTTCCAGCCTGGCCCATATCTGGGCACTCCATGGATCACACCCTTGGTCATGTTGGGCACCATCAGCTGAAGCACTGTCAAACCCAGCTACTACCCAGTGGTGTGTGTGCTGAGCTTGGGCAAATCAGAGTCTTCAGCATCATAAATGTTTGGTTTTGGGGAAGGCAACACTCCACTGAAAACCATAGTGTCCGAGTTCATAACGTGCAAATTAATTTGGCCACTGAAAAATGAAACTTATGGTTTGTAATGTGGTGTGCTTCAAAACATCACTGATCACCCAAACCAGCTCATGAATTACAGCTACAAATTGTAGGGAACTTAGAGAAGAGCAACAGGGACAGACAGGACCAGAGGACATTTGCACAGAGTGCTGAAAGCTTAGTTATAATTAAGAAGGTATACAGCAGTCTATAAATATTTACAGAGTGCAGAGATCTGCCAGATGGAAATATTGTTCCATGTAAACAGTATTCATGGGATAAACTTAAACAAAAAACATACACAGTCTGATGAAATACCCTGAGTTTGAAGGAATTGTCCTAAAGTGCTCATAAAATCCTGGGTTTAGAAATAGTCAGGAAATAGCATGGGGACCAGGCACTGCACTACAGGCTGCAATTAAACAAAAAGTAACTATTTCACCCAACTTTCTCTTTGTAACCCACGGAAATTACCCAGCTGTGGAGAAAAGTGAGTGCTGTGGAGCACAAAGCCATGAATCCTGAGGTGACTTCTGATACAAAGATGAGTTTTTCCCAGTGGTGAAGAAGCAGCATATTAGTGTAGTGGGTGTCACAGCGCTTCATAAAACCCCTTAAATAATTGCCTCTCCTATGTACAAGAGCAAAATGCTCCGATGACTTTCTATGGAAACAGAGGTGACTGAAACTTCAGGGATCCAAGTACAATTTAGGATCCTATTGAGTCTTTGTGGTACCAAAGTCCAATTATATTTGCAGCTGAAAGGAGAATACAGCCCTTTCCAGAGAGCCTGAGATAGAGTTAGGTCATTACTTCAGTTTTCCAGTAAATAAATGTTAAACCCTGACCATGCTGAGTTTATGGGGCACAGTTTCTTGCCTTTTCTCTTTCAAATATTTTTTTTGAAAGGAAGTTAGGAAATATTGTGTGGTATGTTCTATTTATTTGCTGTGATTCCTGGAATCTATAGTTGGTCCCCAGAGATAAAAGCTGGGATCAACATACTCCTTTCTTGTTGCAGTAGCAGCACAAGGAATATATGAGTCCTACATGTGGCAGGAATAACCTTCTGCCAGTCAAAAAAATCACCTGTAAAATGTGCATTAAAATATTTATAACACTTGACTATGTAGAACAAAGATAAAGGTAATAACAGGCATATCATGCTGTATGAGGGCAGCCAGAGAAATTGAACAGGTCAAATATTTTTCATGCATTTAAATGTCAAAAAAAATGAACCTTAGGAAGATTTGGATTTGAGAGTCTGGATGACATCGGTTTCCTTATGTAGCACTCTGTAGCACTTTGTTCTGACACAGTTAATTCACAGTGTGTAAAATCAGCTGAATTTGTGTCTATTTTGTACTACCTCAAGATGGCCTGAACACAAACGTCTGGATCAAGGCAGCACTTCTTTTCTAATCCAACTGATGTCATAAGTAATAGGAACCAGCAGTCCCAGAAACAGTATTGCTATGAGCTGAATACACAGGTGCTGGGTGGGTGTGATGCCTCCTGCCCCCACTCAGGGAGCAGTGCTGTGGGCAGGGATGCTTACATGGGCTGGGAGCACTCCTGGAGGTTGCACACCCTGCGGATGGGTTTGGGCTTCGGGATCACCTCGCAGAAACTCCGATGAACCATCTTGTGGTCCGTCTTCCTCCGGCAGCCGTACTTGGTGAACTGGTAGCCTGGAGAAAGACACTCCTCTTATTCTCAGTCCTGGTAAATCTCACAGAGGACTCACGTTTCAAACAAACTGCACACAGGCTGTCAAAGGTCGCAGTAGGAGCTACCAAAGGAACTCTAATCCGCACCAAATCAACACGTATTCATGCGAATTTAACACCCAGAGTTGCTCACCCCCTTTATTTTTTACCACAGGCTTTAATGAGATGAACAAGAAGATTTAACATTTCAAAAACATTCTGCACATCTGCCCAGCCACAGTCCAGCTCTGCAACCTGACCACGAGCCTGGGGAACAGCATCGGGGTTCGCATCAGGCCCCGAAAGCAGGAGTCTGACATTGCAAGGTCCTCACCACAGGATGTGCTTTTACAAAGGGCTGCCCCATGGCATCTTGAGGTTTGTCACCTTCACAGCTCGGAGACTCTCATCCAAATCTTAGACATTTTTCCAATTTTTCAGTTTCATAAGCATAAACCAGAAATGAGCCAACCCAGAACTGCCCCCAAACCATTTAAGTCAGATTTTAACTCCATTTGCTGTTTACATATCTATTATGTAACTGAAATAAAACCCCTCCTACACTCCTGGACTCCCCAGGGTCTTGTGGCAATGAATCAGTTTTAAGTGGTCTGGGGTTTTGTTTTTACCTCCTCCACAAGGTTTTGAACACTGGGACCATTTCTTCAAAGCCCATTCATACGACACTGAGTCCACTTCCAAAACATTATTGTTATCTACATTCAAGGAATCTTCATGGATCATGTACTTGTAAGTCAAAGATATCTTGGCACCACCGTGAGGAATCACCTAGTAAGCAAACCAGAGGTAAGGAAAAAAGATACAAAAAACTGATACCAGAAGCTCTGTGAGATGACATGAAATAGGGACCATCATGGCTCAAATATAAAAACATCCCCAGAGGGATTTAAACCTTTCAGCTGCACTCAACAGATTTTTTTTTTCCCTGATGAAATAGTATATCCTTATGACACAGAGTTTCTAAACTGCATATTAAGAAAGACTGTTGTTGATTTAGACTTATTTTTCTTGCCAGCATTGGACTGGCTTCACGATACTAAATTTTTTCCATATCCCATCACAAAGGAAGAAAATTTTGTGCTAAAATGATAATGGATAGTTCCACTAAAAGACAAAGCAAATTCAACTGCAGAGATAACCAAAAGTAGCAAAGAAAACTGGTTATATTTCTGATAAAACACAAATATTCTTATGATAAGCCTGGGAGTTCTGCAAAGTTTGTTACTTAATCTTGACAGAAATATAAACTATTTAGAAAGAGTTTTTGTTATCACACTGCACTAAGACAAATGCAAGAAAACAGAACACAATGAGAATAAAGTGAAAAATATTGGTTCTTTGGAAACAATATTTATTCCTCCTTTGGAGTTCAGCTGGTGTAGATCAACACATTACAGCTGTTTTCAGAGGGATTCTGAATCAACTTATCCCTACTCCTTTAAGTCTATCATTTGCTGGTTTGCAATGAAAAAAGAGTATAGTTGGGTGGTTTTGGGAACTGTGGAACTGGCTGTGCCCTGACAAAGGGAGCCTGGAAGCACAAGACTCCTGCATCTGCCTTTGCAGGATACATTTCCAGAACATGGATGGGAGAAGGAGCTGTGAGATCAAGCTGACATGAACCACTTTGACCTTTTTTAACTCATGCTCTCATGTCAGATGTGATAAGTGAGCTGCAGAGTCTCTCCACAGTGGCTGATTGCTAGGCCGTCCACAGGAAATAATCAGGAGAGCTGGTTGCTCAACACTTAAGGCTGAGTTATAACAACTCTTGCACAGAGCAATGAATTAGGAGAAAGGAATTAAAATATATCTTCTATTGTCTTATAATTGAAGCAGATGTCTTCTTGTAACTCACAAGAGGAATCTAAATTATATGATAGCCCATTATGGCTCTGTAACCCTGACACTGTGTTCTGTGGGAGATGGTTTTCGTTTGACTTACCAGAATAACTATCCCATTACGCAGCGGTCCCATGGTCTGCACCGTTTCTCTATCGTCGTCATTCCGATATTCCCACTCCACACCCATGTCAATAAATACTTTAGAGTCTGGCACATAGTTGTCTTCACTAAGAATGAATTTCCCCGTCTCACGGTTTTTAATAGCTAGGAACGACACAAGAGAAGTGAATACGAGAGGTTTGCTTCTCATCTCCGGTTTTGTTCTGCTCCTGTCCCAGTGGAAGAAGGAGAAAAGGCCAGTCTGAATTTTCCTCTGTTCTCTCACAGGTTTGGAACGACTTTTTCAGGTGTCTCATTGAACTGCCAATGCTTTTCTGCTCAGCTCCAGAAACATCAATTGTCCTTTTTTTTCCCTTTTTCATTGCCTGCCTTGCCAGAGAAATGAGGCCAGCGCGGCTGCACCACGGGGGTCCAGCTGCCTGCTCCCAGCTAACAACTTCTAAATCCACTGGCCAAATCCGAGCCAATTTGAGAGCTGGTGGGGGTCCCAGGGCTATTCAGCTCTTTCACATGTTGTAAGGCAGCTCAGGGGGCTGTTACTGCTCCATCAGAGAAAGGCTACTGGGCTAACCCCCAGCAGGTCCCCACAGCAAGAGAGAGACACTTAGAAACAGTATTAATTCTCCTGCTCAGATCCAGTCCTGACACAGACACAGCCCTGTTAAGCTCCTGCTGCTTTGCAGGCGCCTGGCACTGCACACAGCGCCTGGTTCCTCTGCTCCAGATCCCATCAGTGCTCCATCCTTCACCTGGAGAGACTTCAGCCACCTTTGTATTAGGACAGGTTTTCAGCTGAGATGGAAAATTTGCCCTTCTCGTTAGCAGAAGCAGGGACTGTTTGTTATTTAACACCAGATTTTAACTCCATTTTCTCTCAAGCAGCCATCTGAGCATCCTGCTCCCTCAGCCCTGGCCTCAGCAGCGAGCGAGCTGTTCATGTCCCTGCATAGCACTTACCCCACACCGACAGAACTTTGTCTGAACTTGCAGCAAGGGAAGCATTCACTGGTGAGAAGTTGGGATGACTCACGATACAATTAGCAGACCATTCGCTGTGAATCTACTTCCAATTAGTGGCAGCCTACTAGACACTGCTTCCCATTGATTACAGGGCAGGGGAGGAGCAGATTTCAATTACCTCCTAAGCTGCTGCATTGATTTGGCAACCTCATGTCAATACTGTTAGCAATGGGGCAGAATCTGGAATGGATATGGATATAGCTGGGACAGACTGAAGATGGGTAGCACATTGTGAGAGATGCACACAAAGACCATGGAATCATAGAATGGTTTGGTTTGAAAGGGACCTTAAAGATCATCTAGCTCCAACTCCATAGGATAATGCATTGCACCCCATGAAATAATTTAATGGCTCTTCTAGCAGCTTTCACACATGCACATCCCAACACAGAGATCTGGGACACCAGGGAATACAGCACAGGGAAATCAAGTTGCCAAACAAGTTTCCTAATTTAACATACTTAAAGAAGGTCCGTGGTGTGGGAGGATAATGGGTAAACAAATGAAAAAACACATTGTAAGGTTCCAAAGACAAAAATAAACAGTAGAAAAAAATTATTCTGACTGAAAATTTTCCTACTTGTTACTTACCAAGATTATGAGTGGTGGCATCTGTTTCCTGTATAAGTAAATGTCTTGCACCAGCAGGAATTTCAAACATCTTAATGTGTCCTATATTGCAGTATTTGAAAATATAGTAATGGGTTAGTATGCCACAAACAGGAAGGGTCTGTCTTAGGTTTTTAAATAAATCTTATTTTCTGAAAGCAGGGTGTATTACAACAAGCTAATCCAGCATCATTCCCACCCCTATTTCTGCGCCAGATAATGGAACATAACAGGGACAAAGGGCTTTGGGGCAGAAGAAAGATGCCTTTAAATGCCATCAACAGACTTTGCTTCAGACTAAGATGTGCTTTGAGTGCCTTATGCACCCCCAGATACCAGGGAATCTGCTGTCTGATAGTGAGTGATGATGACATATTATTGCAGCACTCCAGTGACTTGGACTGAGCAGGTGGGTGACATCAGCAGCTCGAGTAAGTCCACAGCTCTCCAACAAGGAGCAGGGAAGCCCTTGTTTGTGCATGCACAGGCTCCCACAGCTTTAACTGATCACTGGACAGAAGCCTTATTTTCAAATTCTAGACACATCTGGAAGTAAGACCATATTGTTTATTGGAATTGATGGTGCTGCAAACAATTCGTAATTTTCCTGGTACTTTCCATGAAACAGAAGAGATTAAGCAAAAATACCCTGAATTCCCCAGGACAAACCACACTGAATGCACTGACCTTGTTTCTTTGGTACTCTTGAAAATGTTCTTTTCACCACTTTGCAGTGGGTATTATCTCCTCCACAAACACCACACTTATCTTCCTGCTTCGTGGAACCTATGACCCTGTCACACCCAACTTTCTGTGCACAAAAGAGAAAAAAAGTCATTCTTATTTATCCACTCTTCAAATGAGCCTTCACTTCAAATATCAAACCCCAGACTTCTGCATCAGTAAAGCAGTACACTTTGTAGTATTTTCCTGCAAGATCAACACCTAACCAGATTTTAATATTTCCAGTTCCTATAAGAGCTGTCAATTGGGTGATTATATTTTCACATTATGCTTCACAGTGGTCCTCTTACTGAAGGAACAGTTGAGGAAAAGCTCTTAAGCCTCAGCTTATCTTCAGGCAGCTGCTTAAATTCCAGGAGGATCAATGCATCTATACGAGGATAAGAACCTCCCCCAGTGCTTTGATAGTCAGAGACTCTAATTCCATTGAAAGATGACCTGCAGCAGATCCTGACTTAGAGGAACTGTCATTGATTTTTTAAAAATAGCATGATCAAATACAGAGAGAATGCACATCAGCCACGTCCTAACACTACTTTCCTTGAAAGCTGCTGCATGTTCCTATTTCACTGTACATTCCACCCCCACTAAACCTCAGCAGGAAAAGCTTCCCTTGAAAGCTAATTGTAATAGTTCATCTCAAAATACTGCGTGAAATATTACTTGTGTAGGTAGGTGCTTTTGGAACTGAGTCACAGGCATGGCAACTGTGAATATCACACATAATATTGTGACAATAATCCTAATGAAATCTCCTTATTGCCTGAAGCGTTATTATACTTGGCCATTCTTGGAGAGAAGCACTCAAGGCCCGTTTTAATTGTTGTCACAATACTGAGCTCTGAAAGGAGCCATCAAACACTCACCAAGCAGTCTCCCCTCACACAGATGCTGTAAGCATCCTTGTAGGAGCAGCGGGTCCCATCGTGTACCATCCTTTTCATGTACACCACGTCCCCTGTCTCCTTTGATTCGCAATACAGGTGGCACCTCTCCTTAGCTGAAAAATAAAATGACCCAAATTGTGAGTGTTCATCTCCCACAGTTTAATAGCTGACATTATGAACAGCACTTTCAGTAGTGTTGGCTCTCTCTTCCTCCTTGCACACGCAGTGTGGTACCCCATGAATCATCGATGCTTGTCCCCTTTCAAAGGCTCTGTGATCATTTGGAAACTGCTGAATCCTAAAGCACCTGTGTGTTACCATTAGGAGACAGACTTAAAAACAGCAGATCATTGACTTCCATGGAGGGATCTATTTAATCCTTCAAAGATGATCCAGTCTGGCCGAGGATTCCTCAGTCTGCCGCACGACTACCTGTGAGAGATGCAAGTTTCTCCTGCACTGCACCTAAATCTGAAAAAAAAGCCAAACCAACTTTGCCATTAAAAGCAGTTGTTTGACACTGAGTGAACCTGGCATCCAAAATTTCTTCAGAGACAGCTGGGCCATAGCATTTCCTCCTAGTCATGAAGTTAATTTTTCCTCATGGTTGTACTTGTATTTATGATAATTTAAACCATTAAACAAGATGAGATGTCAAAAAAGAATCAGAAAAAAAACTAATCTTTTACTGCTAACACATGCACAAACAGCCAGACAAGTGGTGTTTTCTCTAATCTGTTCCAAAGAGCTGAGAACAAAAAACAAAGCTGAAAATGGCTAGTCAGTGGCTAAATAAAGTTTTATTCCGCTAGTGTATTTCATTTTATCCATTTCTCTTGCTGTCCCCAGCCCAATAATAGGATTCTGTGCTTTCTTTGGCACTGAAGAGCAGATGGTCTTTCTGTTAGATGAAACAAATAGAGATTCTGCTATTTTAACATGATTAAAAGTTGGGACATTTTTCCCACCATTTAAAACAATAATGACCCTTCCATTATAGCAGTTCAATTGATATAAATCTTCACAGGCCCTTTGCGTTCTTCCCCCATACAGTTCCATGGCCTCTGCCCTCTTTTTATAAAGTCCTTGTTATTGCTGTTGATGTCCTCAAGGCCACTGGGTATTGGTACATCAGAGACCTTTGTTACTGCTCCCAAATAATGCAGAGATGTCACGCTAAGAGTGTAGGGTCTAGTCTATTGAAACAGGTACTTTACATTTTTTGTGCAAAGCCTTAATAGGAAACTATTAAGATCATAATGATGGCAGACCTAATGTGTTTGCATATATTAGAAATATTAAATTATGCACAAGACATAGATGTGTTCACACCACCCCCCTGGGTATGTTCCCACCCCCACCCCATACATACCACGCATTCACTGCACGCGATTCAGTGAAAATATCAACAGGTCTGACTGGGTGCCAACAGCTCTGTACAAGGGCTCTATTTTAGAGATGGTTCTGTTCCCACTGCTCCATGGGAACAATAAATGTGCAAGTGCTGTTAAATTGGACCCTGTTAATTGCAAAGAATTGTTTTCTTCCTATTCACTGGCGTTGGGCATGGTAGAGGTGCAGGAGCACGGATGTGATGTGTGCCTGTCCATTCCCTGCTCCCCATGAGCTTCCTGCTCATTTAATTGAGGCTGGGAGCTAATAGCCAATGTCACACTCTGCTGCCCTGGCAGATGCACGACACAGGGGTCTGTGAGCACAGCAGGGGTGAGGAGATGGGGTGCTCAGAGGGCTTGGAGCAGGAGACAGGCCATGGCACAACGGGGCATTGGGATGCTCAAGCACACACTGGGGTGCATCCCGGCTCGGCAGCTTTTCTCTGCCCGCAGCATGAGGTGCTCCTCTCTGTTCCTGTCCCATACACAATGTGGCAGACACGTCCAGCTGAGCTGTGTGTGAAATGTATGGATTTATGTCACTTCTGAGCCACGACTGCACAAAGTATGTCACTGATATGCCTTATCTTTACAAAAGGGAGTTTTAAATAGATTGGAGTTCAAGCGTAAGCCACCCTCTGGCCTTGCTTTCACACAAAAGCTGTTCCCTTTAATAACCCTGTACAGGTAAATGTAACTCTCAAGGTGTCTGCAGTCATACCACAGATGTATGGGAAACCAGCGGTGCCCATGGATCAGTGCTCAGACATCAATGAGCTGATTTCTGACCCAGAAGCCATTGAATCTAATAGAAAAAAAATCTGATTAGCTTCAGTGGTCTTTGCAGCAGACTGCTCCAAAGCCCAAAGCAGAAGCAAAGGTCCTGCAGGCCACAGCGTTCATCCCCTCACCCTGTGCCAGCAAAGCTATTCCATGAAATTAAGCTGTGAGGCTGTGTCTGTGCCTTTGAAAATCCCAAACTGACCAAAATGGCATGAAAAGAATGAGGGAGCCCTGAGAACTGTTTGGGAAGAAAGTCAGGCAAAATAATTGCAAGGAATTCGCTATTAATTTCTGGCAAAGTATCCTCTCACTGGAATGCAAAATGATTCACCCAAAGTGACCCTTCCCCTCCCAGCAATGAGTGCTGGGCTGAGGGCAGGGTGGGTGCCCAGTACCTGCCCCTTGCCAGGCTGACCCTGCCCTCATGGCTTGTCATTCAAGTGAAGCCATACAGTTTAAAAACATGTTCAACGAGTTGAGACTCATTGCCCTGCGCCTTTTTGTTCGGTAAAACATCTTCTCAGTGTATTTTCTGGCAGTAGCAGACGTGGCAGTAGCACAGCAACATCCCTCATGGCCCAAATCAACCAGCTGCACTTCCACTGACAGTTAAGCCGAGGCATTAACAGGAACATTTTTGTCCTAAGAGGTGATCTCTGCCGAGGTGCCAGAACACCAGCCTGACCATGCTGGTTGAGACCCAGCACCCATCCAACCCAGCACCTGCCTCCAACAGAGCAGGAAGATGTAAGAACAAACTGGATACTCTTCTCAGAATATTCTCCAAGTTCCTTTTAAACTGCAGGTTGGGGACTTCCGAAGTCATGGCAGGAACTTGGTGTTTAATAGCTCTTAATGGATTGTAGAACTGTCAAGAATTTTTCTAAATCATTTTTAAAACTTTCTGGCATCTGCAAGTTCCTGTGACAGTGAATTCCAGGGTAATTAGATACTGTGTGGAAAAGCACTTCCTCTTATTTGTTTTAAATCTGCCACCTGATAATTTTATTTGATGTTCCCAGGCTTGGGAACATTATAATCATTCTGTGTTCAGTCTCTTAGTGCCACTCACAAATCTGTAACTCTATCTTTTTAATCTAAATCCTTGCTTTTTCAGGGTGGGAGGTCCTGGTTTATCCAAACTCTCCTCATCCAGAAATCATTGTTTATGTTTGATTTATTATGGCCTTTCTGAGTTCAACTGTAGGTTTTTTAGCAACGTGGGCAGCAGTGAGATGGGCACAACCTGAGCTGCTCCAGCCAAATATTTAAAATGCAGACACACCGTGCAGGTACTCAGAGGCAGATCAGTGTTCTCCATCCCTCTCTTGACAGTCACTGAACTGATGTTTTCCTAAAGCTATTCCCAACTCCCAACCTTTCTGTTCAGAGCCCACCTTCTCTATAGACCCATACAGACACACACACCAATTTTTACCCCCATATCCAATACTAGAATTCATTAATACCAAACTTCTTTTGCCACCTTCAGTCACTTTGTGTCACAAGGTCCTTCTGCAGCTCTCACAGTGCCCTGCCCTAGTTTAATTAGCCTCAGTAATTTTGTAACCTGAGTAGATTTTGTCGCCTGGTTTGTTCCCTTTCCCTGCTCACTGCCATGTCCAGCAGCACCCATGCTGCCAGCACCCATCTTTGTGGAACACATCCTCCCATGCAAAACCATTCCCTTTTGTCCCATGATGACTCAATTTAAGAGCTCTCATTGGAGAACAGAGTCCAAAGTTTTCTGAAAATCCAAGTACATGGTATGAATTGTATCACTCATACATACACTGATACTCACTGTTCCCTCCAAACAACTCATAACAGATTTGAGAGGCATCATTTCCCTAGAAGAAGTTTTACCTCTCCCTGTATAGTTTTAATTCATATTTTCAGCTGATTTTAGTTTTCATAGGAAAAGGGGTTACTCACCATCAACATGTTCATAGGGGAGCCAGTGGTGTTTCGTGTTCTGGTACTCAAAGTAGGGATCCCACTGCCTGCATTGCTCCTCCCTGAAATCCTCAAAGTCCTTGGGACAGTCCTGTGTGTTGCACAGCTGGAACTCGTAGCTCGGCCCCACACACGTGCGGCCTCCGTTGGCAGGACTGTGGTGGGGAGAGAAACCCACTGTTAGTTTTGCCATTAATGCATGAATCGAGTGTCTATCAAATCTTCTGAGGAGCAGTTTAATTCCCAGTCGTGTCAGTAGGCACTTGGAGAAGCCAGTGCTCTATTTCTGATATGGAAAAAATATATTTCCTTTCCAAACCCATTTAGCTCTTAAAAAACAATTTCTGCAAGCAGAGGCTCAAACCACTTGATAACGGCAAGAAAAGCCATTTTCTTGGTGTAGCCAGGAAAGGGAAGCACAAGCAGATGAAGCAAGTCATCCACATTCACCCCTAAGCCAGCAGCACACCCAGCACAGCCCAGCTGGGTGCTGTGTCCCCAGGCAGATGTGCCCCGGGTCACTCAGATCCAGCAGAGCTCAGAGCCTGCAGCTGGGTTTGCACCCTCTTCCAGAAAACACAGAAAACACTTTCAATAGTGCATTGGGCTTTTCCTACATGAAAATAGATTTTACAACTAAATCTGTGCCCGCAGTTATAAAGGTCACTTTCGTGTTGCCAATGTAATAAAGGCTGAAATGAGAACTGCCAAATTTTTTCTTAACAGAACAATTTCCATTGGAAAATGCTGCATCAATAAACTTGATTTGTTTTAAAAAGTCAATGATAAGATGATTTTTAACACTAGACAAGTTCAATTGCTTTATCAACACAAACTGAGAAATTCAATGTTAAAATATTCTGTCTGGTAAAATAATTTAATTCTGACAATTGTTTCAGTTCTTGCTGTTAGGAGCTTGCCATTTTATGATACCACACTAAGATAGCAATAATTATACATATCATATTATTTGTATATACCAATCTTTATTCAATATACTTTACATGCAGTATTACTGAAATTGAATCATTCTACATTATCTAGATGACCCATATGTAAGTTATTGAAGCAAAACCGTTCAAAATTCCTAAAATTAACTTTGGAGAAGGTTCTGATCTCCGGAACTTTGTTCCAACTTGGAACGAAACCCGTTTGAAAATATTTTAAGACCTTCTTGTTGAAATATCCTAAAAAGTGGATTAAAGAAAACTTTTTTAAAAGGTTTTAAAAAAAAATCCAGCAAATCCTTGCCATCATTTCATGCTCACATATTGAAACAAGACATATATAGGGCCCTAAACTTTTACTTGTGTTTTACACAGTAGTGTATTAGCGCTTTCAAGATCCCTGTAACTGCAGAACTGTGTAAAGGACGGATAAACTGAGAAATAAAGATGATTCATGGCTTGCTAAGGGCCAAAAGTAGAACTTCTGATGATATACTATAGGTCAGATTTAACAAGCACCACTCAACACCCTTTACTGCACTGCTAATGTAGCAAGGATTGTCACCACTCAGTCACTGCACATCAGGAAGGCACGGGGGGGGTGTGCACTTACTGCGGGTTGTCACACTGCCGTGTCCTGTACTTCACCCCGGTGCCACAGGTGCGAGAACAAGAGCCAAACTTACTCCATGCCCCCCAGTGTCCATCCTGCTTCAGGATGTCTGGTGTGAGCCAGATGCAGTGACCTTTAAAGCAGTGCTGAAAGAGAAAATCAGACGTCAAAACGATTAGACGATTAAATTATAAGAGGAGCTGTGGTACCACTGATTTAATTTTAGGCAAAACTCTGGATTTTTTTTCATCTTTCCAGCACAAAGACTCACTATTGGATCATGCCCATGATCCCAAACTCATTCAGGTTTTATAAACTTCCATGTCCAGTATGCACATATGTGTGTGCAGGATTCAAGCCTTAGCAATTGCATTAAACTGCTCTTAGTGTTACATTCCCTCATCACCTGCCTGCAGTGGGAATTTCAACAGAACTAATGCAGATTCATTGAAGGGAAATGGCAGAATCCCAAATCTGTAACATTCTGCCTCTGCCATTGTATGCAGCCTCTCCAGGCAGCACCGGCAAGAGCTCTGGCCATGGCACCATCCTGCCCTGCCACTCCCAACTCCATGTACATATTCCTACAATAAATGTCATCAGTGAAGTGGCACGAAATTAAAGCCAGCTCACATTTTAGACATTAGTGCTATTAAATAAAAAACTGTTGTGATCTCCCTGGGGATCTCATAGTAAACCTGGGCAAAATATTGGAAGCATTCCTTAGGGAGCAGCCCTGGACAGCCCCAGTGCCGCACAGTCCATCACACCCTACCACACTTCCTTTTACCTGGTTTTTAATACACTCATTCTACAGCAGTTGAAGCAGAATTTGCTACATTCCCCAAACCTATAAGGTATGTATGCATTTTTTCAAGAGCCTTTATAGCTCCAGTACTGATCACTACTGTCTCCTCCATTAAAGAAACCCGCCAGTGCCTTTCCACCAATTTCTCCCGTCCCTAATCAAGGAATTTTTTCTCAGCTGAAGTCAGAGAGAATTCTTCTCAAGGATCACAGGTTCTGGCCCTTTCTAGTACTATTTCTGCTTTCATAAAAGTTTACTGATGAAGTGTGGGTGCTGGAAAATATATTCCAGCCCAAGAAACAACTTTGCATGAGACTGTCGCAGTTTGTCTGCGTTAGCAGTTACTGTCGGGATGAGAGCTCTGGCTCAGGAGCACAGATGGCTGCAACAACAAGTGAAATCAGTCACTTACTTTCCTTAACATTCAAGTCAACAACAACATTTTACACAGCTTAACAAGCCCTGGAACGCAGGAATTTGGCAGGCTGCACAAGCCAAGCATATGGCTAAATGCAGGCTGCCAGCAAAAACAAAATCAGAAGATGTATAACAGGAGAGCGTTCTTCAGCATAGAGCGATTAGTGATCTGGAAGGCAAATTTAAAAGTGATGGATAGTCATTAATAATGCTGAATTTAAAGAGAGAATCATTAGTAAAATGGTGACAAGGCACAGCTTACTGATTCGCTAATCTGCTCAGTGACTGGCTCTTTATTCATGCAATTTATTTTGGTGCTGATTTGGTTGGACAAGGAGTAGAAGAGATAGTAGAAATTAGATTTCCACTTTTTTTTTCTTTCCCATATCTTCAGATATTCAAAGTCAAAACCTATGAAATAGATAAGTTACCACAAAGCCAATTACACCAATCCTGCTCCAGAGCTGTAATGGGCAGATTTTTCTTAGCTGTTTGACAGAACAAGAGATAATTCAGCAAAGCATGAAAGAAATGCAAAATGCTAATATGTCCTTTGCTTTTTTTGGTTTTGAAGCTTAGAACTGTACCCTTCAGGGACTGTTTACTTATGGCTTTAGAGAGGTTTGTTTGAATGAACAGTTTGAGTCATGGGGCCCTGTGAAGCCATGGGACCATTCTGAGATGTGGGGGAAGCTGGCAGTGCATCAGCTTGTCAATACAAGTTTCAGCTGGGCTTGGAAGCAGATGTGAAGTGACAGCTCCTGATCTGTGCTTGCTGACACATCCCCTTATCACGGTGTAAGTTCCACAGCAGTCACCAAATCCATTTCAAGAACCATATAGCCTACATGAATTATATGATGATCCAGAATCCAGTGCTTGGACTCATGGAGGAGCCACTGAGTTTCCCAATCTCTTTTCCCTATTTTAGCCAAGAACAGCGGGATGTGAATTTACAACCACCACCAATAAACCCCCTATCTGAGATTGGGACTGGTCCCTGAACTGGAAGGCAAACGTGGAAAAGTGTTACTGACTTTGCTGCGTAAAGGAAAGAGCAGCACTGGTTTTTACTGGAGAAGTTGGTCAGATGCTGATTGTCAGGAAGCTGAGGCAGAGCTATTAGGAGAGAAGCATTTGTGTAAAATGAGTCATCCCCTGCTCTGCCTTTTTTTTTGTGGATTAAAAGAAAGGAGCCTACAGAAAACCAAATGATTCACAAATGAACCTTGCTCTGTGCAGACCCTTGCAAGAAATTGATGAGAAGGTAAACGCAGAGATGGAGAAACCTGCGGTGTAATAAAGGAAGTTAAAGCCAACCCTTCCTATTGCTACTACATTAAATACATAATGAGGTGGAAAGGAGCCAATTTCAAGCACTATTCCCTTCATAAACAGGGGGTTTCACTGAAAGAGTGAAGCATATTAAAGCAATATTATTTTTTTAATAAAAAAATATAAATATAAATAGTTTTCTTAGTGGAAGACAAGATGACTTCTTGCAGTCTCGTCTATTTTTCTGGCAAACAGGACAGTCCAAAACAAGTGCAATTTCCAGGAGAGGAAGCTTAAATTTCTTGCAGTAAAACATTCCACTGCTGTTTTCAGCAGTTCTTTGAAACAACTGCTTTGGACGCCAAAAAAAGAGCCAGTGTGTTCCTGTGGGCTTAGCACATCCGCAAGTCAATTTTCCAAGAAAAGACTTGAAGATCTTGTGTGGGTATCTCTGACTGTTTTATATTGGGCAGCAACAGGCAGTTCTCCTATCTCCTCACTTGACACCCCAGTTATCTGCAAGGTAGCCTCTGGTGCTGCACCATGGCTGGTGGCCCTCAGCTCTCCCCACTCTGCTGAGATCCTCTGAGGAGAGAGTTACTTATTTATTTGTATTCCCCAACACACGCAGGCTGGCCCGCTCTGCTCCATCTGCCGAGAATAATTAGTTGCAAGGGATGAACTGAAAGCTCCAACACTAAGGACTTCTCTGAGCCAGTAAAAGTTTCTTCAGTGGAGAATCAAGTATTCTCCCTGTTTCTGTGGTGACTAACACCACTCACACTCACCCATCTGTCTCCTGTCTCCGAGAGAAGCTGAGGTCAGCCTTCCTCAGCGGGAAATTATCTGGATTGCTTTGAGTACACATTAGTGTTTTCAGAAACCTTTTTTCTTGGTCCATTTTTCTTCTCAATAATACCTATTTATTTCAACATTTAATCGTTCCCTTCCTTTCCTGACAGAGTAAAAAAAAAATCATTCCAAGTTTGACTCGGATCGTCTCATTAGCACAGTGCAAGCAAAGAGAAGACCTGCTAGGTTTGTGCTGGAACCTTGGCACATGAGCCAAATCCAAGAGCAACTTCAGCTTGGTCTGCAGGGTCAGGTACCAGGCTCTTACCTCTCTCCAAGAAAAGGAAATAAAAGGAGGCTCAGGTGGTGCAAACCTTGGTGTTAGTCACTGCAGCAAGCAGATGGATCTCCTTGCATGAATGACTCTGGGTTTGATTTCTACCCTGTGGAGAGCAGTTTGCTACTTCAGCCAGCATAAATGTCTCCCCAGAAGAGTAATATTTTTTTTAAAATGGACTAACAAAAACTGATGATATATTACTTAAGGTTGCCTGGATTCAGAAGCCTGAGGCTAATGGTGAAGCCGACAGAACTGTATACAAGTAAATAAATTTATCAGCTGAAAGCATATGTTTTCTTTCAATCTACAGAATGCTGGGCAGACTTAAGTTTTGCACAGTTATGTCTTGTCTGCATGGTTTACTATAGCAATTTATGGAGTGTCTTTGACTCCACATGAAGACTGACTTAACTTTACACACAGGAGTCATTTCATGGAAGTTGATGTGACCGTTGCAAGTTATTGCATCATCAAAGCTTCACAAAATTGACAGAATCTTCCCTTTTGCTATTGAAAACTCAATCTAGTTTAAAAAAAACAAGCTGGGAGCAATATAAAATATTGCTTCCTTTAGGATACTGTCAAAATAGTAGTTTTCTTCTCTGGTTGGGAAGCTCGAAGAGAATATTTGATTTTTTTTATCTTTAAGCCCAGCAAATTATTAATTTGCTGCCAATTAATGTAATGGTTGTTTGATATCTCCATTCGCACAAGGAGACTTATTAAAAAGGTTTTGAAATGGCAGAACCTCACTCCTTTGGCACCTTGTTTTAAATAACCACATGCACAGAAGAGCTTACATACATTTACATATATTTACTTAAGTACAAACACTTATAGGTATGCATATATACACACATATAGACAGCATTAGGAAGTCTAATCTTCCCTTTCTAAGGGTCAGTGCCTGGGTCTAGTTCACAGCCTGGGTGTGCAGAGGCACGACCCTTATCATCCTGCCTGCCAAAAATGTGCTACGATCTCATGTCTCCCAAGTGGGTGTTCTTGCCCCTTGATCATCAGTTAGGAAGGAGGCAGCTGGACTGGCTTCTCCTCAATAGCATCTGCTAAGTTTGGGAGCAGTTATCAGTTATCTGAACACCACCCTTAGGTGAGAACATCCACCCACCGTGTGCCGTGTTCGCCTCCCCTGCACCACTTTCATTTCTGGCATCGGGTCCCCTCAGCTGCAGCAAAGCCAGGATGTTTCTTTGACACATCAGCAGTGTTGTGATTGGTTTGAGCTTAAAATAGGCCCTGGGAATTAGTGGTATGAAATCATGAAAACTGCAAGTCTCTAAAGTGGGAAACAAATGGATCTTTTTTGAATCAACATCTTTAATTGCTTATGTTTCTGTGCTTTTCTGGTGTTATTCCAAAGAAAATAGTGGATCAAGCTTGAAATTATTTTCCTCTTCCTCATGTGCTGATGAGGTATCAAGGGAGATGTACCTGAAAGGAGGCTGCCCCACTGCAACTGAGTCCCAGCTTTGGGGAATAAATGCATTTTACGTCCCTGTGCTTTCACATAAGAGCCTCTGGTATTGTCCAAATCGGTGCAGAGAGTGAACAGGGGAAGGCAAAAACAAGGGCAGGGATGAAAGGGAAAGGAGCAGATGAAAAAGCATTGATCGGATGTGCTTGTATTAAAAACCCCAACAACTAATAAATACACTGGTCAGATGTTGGGCTCAGATGCACAAAGTCAGCTGTATAACCTTCATAGCTCATGCTATTTAAAAAAATCAAACATTTAGCTCAGACTGCTGAGCCTTATCTAACAAAATGATTTTCATTTTACAACGTTTTCTCAGGTTCTTCTGGAAGGTGGCAGCAAGCTTATTTATCAAAAAAACTGGGACAGCTCCCCTGAGAATAAAACAGTCATAGTCCTATCATCTACTGCAGCTTCAGAATGTGCACATACTCTCTTGCATCTCTGCTGAGCTCAAAAGCCTGGCTGTCTGCACAGCTTACTGAAGCCTTGGATCCCAAGTTCCAGTCCAAAGAAAATTTTTACAGCTGAGTTGCATAATATCCTGACAAACTGTTTATAATGGAAGCACTGACAGATCCTTAACTGTAGGGTTACAAATTCCCCTTTTTCTCCTCATTTCTGTTCACATACTAATATGAATGAGTGGCACGGGGAAGAGGGTGATGCAACAAAATGGATATAACTGTATTTTTCAAGGTGGGTTCATGAATATTGTTAATGCAAAAATCAAGATACACAAAAGTGAATCCAAATGAACTGTCTAAGATTTTGGACTGTAGTTTAAAATATATAATATATATATAATTTTTTACAATAAGAAACAAAGCTGTTACAACAGGAGTAATTTAAAGAAGAGAAAACCAGAAAGGAGTGGTTTATTTAGAGCGTGACTTGCTGGGGGATTAATTTAACATAACGTTTTCATAAAAAAGACATTCCAAACCATAACAGCAGCTGCTAATACGGTTCATTTATCGCATAAATGATGTCATCCATTGGGTTATAAAAAAAATCTTTCCAAGTAGCGACATCTTCCTCTCCCCCTCAGTCACTGCATCCAAAGCCCAGGGAAGCCAGATTTTTTTCAGCAGACTTCAAAGGACTTGGAGTTCAGATCCACTGTGAGCACAGCGTGATCTCCACAGAGGATAACTGAGGTTTGGAGCAGGTCCAGCGTGGTGGCTGAGTGGTCAGAGCTGTCTGAGCCTTTGCCACATCACACCATCCCCTCCACAGCTCCTCGTGCCTCCCTTGACTATCATCAAGCCAGCAAATCCACCTCCACAAATCTGCCCTTCTCCCCTCATAGTCCCTCTTGGCCGTCACGTTGGTTCTCCCTAGCTGGCACTCACCTCCCACATCCATCCTTTCCCCCTGGGAGGCTACAGCGGCCTTAGCTTGGCTGTCATCTCCAGGACCTCAGTGCTCTCTGCATTCCCGCACTGGGATACAAGTACAACCCCGTGACATCAAAAAAGTCACAGCAGAGTAGAAATTTCCCCATTTTTTGATTTTACCATGAAGACTTGCCAAGAAGAATTGCCCGAGGAGGGGGTTTGATGGTCACAGAGTGGCCAGGCAGGACACACCAGCCCTCACTCCTGTGTTCTCCCCTCGGCTCCTCACTTGCACTCATGAGATTGCCCCACATCTTGGCAAACTCCAGGTCCTCAAGACAGGTTCTTCTCTTTTTCCTCTTGATTTTAAGGACAGCTGCACACAAACACACGTGCACAGCTGGGTACCCAGGGCACCCGCTCTCACCTTTCCTGGAGCACACATGGTCCCGTCCAGCGGAGGCCCTTTCTTTGTTTTGCAGAAATAGGGGTTCTCGGGGTGGCTGCACCACAGTTGCTTGCAGGGATCGAACGTGCGGAACTGAAACACAAGAAAAATCAGAGTGGATGATGCTCCGAGAGAGTTCCCACTGGAAACTGCAATGGAAGCTGCAGCATGGGGCGGGGGGGGAGTTCCTTTCCTAGGTATAAAATGATTAGCACTGGTTCCTGAGGAACAGTGGGATGTCTGTGGATTGAGCATGTTTGAGCTTTCACACAGAATCATCAGTGGCTTTGAAGTGAGATCCGACCTGCATGAGATGGAATAAAGTCAGGCAAAAATAGTCTTACACTAGTGACCAAAGGCTGACTGGGCAAGGGGAGAACCATTTTTCCCAGATGGTAGGACAAACACAGCCTTTCCTTACAGCTTCTCTGAACGGTGCTGCTTCACTTGGCAAACAAAGCAAAAAATCCTTGAGCACCCATGGCAGACAGAAACGAGCTGCTCTGACTGAAGTTCAGGTGTTGTAATCACCTTCTTAGGAGGATGGAAATTTGAGATCAGAACCCTGATCTGATGAATAAATCAGCGTTTTATCTGCAATGCAAACACTTCTATAAGAGAGGATGAGAATCACCCATCACAAAACATAATAAAACATGATGTCTGCACACGCTTTTGGCTATTCTGAACAAAGATGACTAGAACGCCTCCATTGCCCAGGCTCTGGAGAATGGGTGTAAGAAAAGACTCTCTTTGGCTGGGACTTTCTTCTAAGCCAGCAGCAGTGGGAATTGTGTCAAGAGACAATACTAGAGCTGATGCTCTGAAGGTTCTCATCCATTATGTGGAGAGACTGCTCGGCACACATATTCCTGCAGATGGGAATGGAAGCTGAAACGTTATGTGTCAGCAGCTGCCACACCAGTTGAAAACATCTCTTTCCATTTAGTATTTTGCCCTATTTGAGGACCTGAAGGTGGGAGGCACAGCTCAGCTGCCGAAGACTATTTTCTGAGGCCAATCCACTGAGAATTACGCTAATCTCGCCTTGCTTTAAATTTAGACTTTGCCTCTTGTTTTCCTCATACACAAGAGCCAACCATGTCATCAAGAGCCCTTGCAAGTTGCTTTACTTGCTGTCATGCTTATTTTCTCCTGCTAGGTATCAAAATGCATCACACTTTCCATAAAATTGGATCATAAAATCATGCTGCCCTGTGCTAGCACTACAAGATGTGCCAGAAAATCCATCTCCTCCACATCTGGGTGGGAGTTTTGTAGCAAAATAACTAGCTGCCAGCAAGAGGAGGCTCAATAATGCAGCAAGTTTGTTTGCTTGAAGTCTACAGATATTTATGAAACTTTATTTATTATTTATTTCTGTCACTTCAGTTTAAAAAAAAAAATACAAGATCTATTTAAAATAACGCATTTGTCAACATTCAGTTGTTAATCCTTGCTTACAGCTAAGGGGACACAACACCTTTCCTTGTGGGCTTCACTACTCTGTCCCTATTAAGGACATTTCAGAGACACTTAGAACCCTCCTGGATGAGAAATAGCAGAAGGCAAAGTTAAGTACTCACAGCTGTGCACATCATGTAGCCCAAACCAAAATCAAACCGGCACTGCTCATTCATGGAGTAGTGAATTCCTGGCAGCTGTGGAAGGGAAGGCCAGTCATGTTCGAAGGGATCATCACGCAGACAATCATAGGAACTGCAACAGGCAAAAATTACAGTAACAGATGGGGCTGTGAGACTTGCACAGTGTTTGTGGTTTCATTGCCTTTTTGTTCCAAACAAAACAGAGCCTACAATTTCTCAGATGCTGGTTGTGAAGAGCAGCTAATATTGCAATTACACTCACATTCACTTTATCATTTTGTATCCACCTTTAATGGATTCTATATATTTTTTTTTTCTGAAGCCCTTCCTTTGTAATTTCCATTTAGCTTGCAGGTAAATTCCTATCAGTCTCCAGGCTCCCTATGTGAAAGGAATCAAAGGAAGAATCCACATGAGACCAAGAAGAAAAGAAAGTTTAATTAATTTTCCATTTGTGGAATTTCTTGCTGCCTGCAACTGTCTTTCAAGTGAAGTTTCAAAAGCAGAGGCCAGGGTAACCAGCCCACAATACCACTAAGCCTGCAGTTTCCCTGTGTCCTCGCTGAGAAGCAGCAGCTCACTCACAGACTAAGTTTCCTTTCTGTGTGATGAACGTGGAAGTTTCTCCTCTCCTACTAAGGAGGGAGGACGGCCTGTAATATATTAGAATTACATCTGACCAAGTCACGTGGGGGACAGAGGACTGGTGCCAGTATCACCAAATGGTTAACACTGTAAAAGCACTGGTTAATTCACAAGACCAACACAGTCCACAGGATCTCTGAAATGTCTCCGAGTTATTTAACAGACATGAGGACACCATACACGAGTCTGTCCTGGCAATCATTAAGGTTGCCTTGAAGATACCAATAGCTGAAAGCAGAATTTTGAGGTTTGATTTACTTCAAAGCAAACCATCGTTCTGCTTTGTTATAAGGCATTTTAAAAATAGTTGTATTTAAAAGAATGTAAAGCAGCCCTCTAGGCCAGATGATTTTTATTTAATGGCTAAAGCTCTGGAGGATCTTGATAATTGAAACAATCACACTTGCCTCACAATATTTTTATTCCTTATTGCCACACCTAAGATATCTAAGATAATAAAAATACGGACAAAAAGACTGACTCATGTTTTCTTCTTGTATTTCTCTGCATTTTTTCCTACTAATTTTCAGATTTTGCTGCTTATCCTAGTAGTTTCCCCGGATTTTTCTGTACAACTTGCACATAAAAACAGGGGGAAGTTTTTCTTTTTCTGTAAGGAGCAAAACCATGGTCATAAACAGTAGAGCTTTTCAGGGAACTCCAGCACAGCCCTAATGCCTGAAGCATCAGGTCCAAAAGGAAGGCAAGGGGCATGGATAAAGCTGTTTAAATGACTTTTTCATTTAGGTACTTAAAGGAAAACTAGCAACTGAAGAACTAATTCTAGGACCATGTTCTCTCTTTAGATATCTATTAAAGCCAAAAAAAAGCCCTGAGAACTTAAAGGGCAGATTTTTGCCTTTAAGCAGCACCATCTTATCATTGACAGGTATCATAAGCAACAAATGGTCCTTGAAGCCAAATGTGGTATCTGTAAGACAGACACCATGCTGCTGGGTAGCAAAAGCACTCCTCCATCCAGGGGTTACAGCAGGGAGGGAGGAAAGATAGCAATGAGATTCACAATAGTGCCTTCTCAACACCCCTGAGAGGACAGTGTATACTCTCTAAATGTCCAGAAAATGAACAGATGTAAATGAAACACAAACAATTTAAAATGGGCTGAAATAAAACTAATTGAGAACTTGTAGTTAGTGGGAAAGAATGTCATTCCTGATGGGCAGGGAGGGGATTCTGTGTTCGTTTTACTCGACTCCACATGAGTAACTAACAAAAGGGGCAAAGCACGAATGCTGGGTGAATTGTTCTGACATGCTTCCTAATTAAAGGGGAGAGGCTACTACTGGCAGCTACTCACTGGAGGTATCTGTTCAGCTCCTGCTGGCTGCAGCGGGACCAGTGGAAGCGGTGGAAGGCAGCCTGCACCAGGGGGGCCATGATGCTGCCCAGGCGCACCTCGTCCCCACATCTGTTCCCTTGGCCATCGTGCTCCATGCCTAAACTGCCCCGCACAGGAGAGACACAGCACAGTTACATCACAGCTGAACTCGGAGTGCTTCCATGTCCCAAAGGCCACCAGGGGTTGATGGCAGTGATGCCTTAAGGTCCATCTGGTTTTTTTGATTTTTCTAATTTTTATAAGCTTTATAAGTAGTTATATAGTAGAAGTAGATTTTAGAAGCAGCAGCCCTTATTCCTTTACCCTTTAGCACAGTAGTTTACACATTCCTCAACCCCTATTACCCCATTCCATGTGCCCCATATCGATATCCATTAGAAAATGTTCAGTCTCTTGTCAAAGCAGGCCCATTTTGTTTAAAGAACACTTGTACCTTGGCCTGAACCGCAAAAGTACAGTCAAGAACCGGGTGACCATGTACCCTTTTGCTCTGAAGAAGACGAAGATGATGAAGAAGTGGTCTCGAAAAGCCCCTAGCCCCAATTCTCGAGGGGTGGACCGAGGGTGGATTAGGGCAAAAGTCACAGGGTGGGAGAACTTCGGATTGGACAGGCAGTATTATAAGTTGTAACAACTGAGGCACAGGGGCACTCGGGTGTCTTGTTACTTAATTAAATCCTTTTCTTATCTCATCTCCAATTTGGATGAGATTTTTTTTCCTCAGCTCCTTTAGGCAAGAGCAGCAAGGTGCTGAAGTCCCTTGACTCTTGTCCACATGAGCAAAGCCATGAGAAATCAGAGGCTGAAGCTGAAGAGCTAGTCTGGAAGCACTGACCCTTGAGAGTACTTTCATGCCATTAGCCTATAAAGACTAAAAATGCCTTTTCTGGGCTCCTGTGAACATGACATTTGTGAGTTACTACAGCTAAATGAATCCATTTCTGAATTATTGAGCCAGTCCACCCTCCAGCAGTACTAATAGAAATTTACTCATGCTCCAATTCGGAGCTATTCAGGAATTCATTTAAATTCTAAAAAAAAAAAAAATCACACCTTGGCTTAATTCAAAGTATTTTGCAACTGTAGACAAGTCCTTTGCATGGAAAAAAAGGAAAGACACCACAATGGAAGCTAGTTCAGACAAGTTGCTGCTATTGCCCAGGAGCAATCCCACATTGTTTAAATGTGAAACAGCCTGGAAAGTGTTGGGTGCTTTCTAGAAAATTTCCCCAAGTTACAGATATTTTAAGATTTCTTTTTGACTGTATTATATGTTTTCTACTTTCCTTTTTTAAGATCTTATATTGCATTTTTTAATGAGCACTCTTGGACCAACATGGGCAGTATCTGTCCATAGTTAATACAAATTAACAGATTGGGGCTGAATGGGACTTGAGGGATTACAAACATTCTTCAGTGGTATCTCTTTAAAAGCTCCCACTGTATTCTTTTTAATCCTAATTCAAAAATTCTGGAATCAAATACCATCTGGGTATCAAATCTATGTCCCTGTCTAACTAAGATAGGTTTACAGTGATTTCAATACATTTTGGCACTTTCTTGTTCAAAGCCCTTAATAACTGATACAAAAAAGAGAAAGGGCCTGCAGGCTTTCTTAGGGAAGACAGAATAGATTGAAACTGTTCAGAAAAAGCCTTCTGGGAACTGTTGTTCTACCAAAGAGAAAATAGGAAATCAGCGGGTGTTCTCTGCAAACAGGGAAGCGAAAATGATCTGGAAGAAGCCAAAGCTCTGACAACTGCTGCCCAGTCATTGGTTCTAATAACATCAGTAAGTAAAATGATTGCAGATTTTATATGAAATATATAGAATAGTTGTAACCACAACTTCTATACAGTATTGTTTCCTTTATCAGCAGTAACATATACAGATGATGTGCTTATTTAGTACGGATTGTTTGCAAGAATCGTGTTCTGCTGGCTCAATGAATTCATGTTTCATCATTATGAGTACTTTACATTTCCACCAGGAGACTACAATACATCATTCAACCTACTCTCACAGCAGTCCTGGAAGATATTTTGGCATTAGTTCTTTTTTCCATTTGAAAATCCCCAAATATAAAGCTTACTTAAGATCGTAAAGAAAGCTTAGCGAGAGCTGAGACCTGAAACTGGAGTTAACCCTGAATATTAGTTCTTTACATCAACGGCATCTTTCCAATGTCATCAGTATTTCTCTGTATCAAAGACCTTTAAAGGTACAACACAGATGTCCACAGTTCTACTCACACATGTCCAGTTTCGTGAGCCACCACAAATGCAGATGAAAAACCATCTTCATGGTTGAGAGTGCAGCTTCGGACAGGATGACACATCCCAGTGACTGGAGCGTAGCCTGAGAGAAACACCAGGTGTTTCAGAAAATGAACAATACAGAAAGGCAACGTGGTGGGAGGCTCTAGGGTGAACATCTGTCTTTTGTTGTGACACAAGTATAGTTGGAGTGCTCCTTTCAGGAAACCTCTGCCCCCAAACATTTAACAGTGCTCCCTCATCTATGAAACAGATGAAACCAGCTTGTTGGACAAATTAAAACTTCCTGGCTCACCAAGAAAACTCTTGTCACCTCTAGGACCATCCTGCAATTGCTTTTTCCAAGTGCATAAGACAACAGAGGCAAAGGACACCACATGCTGCTGAGTTACAGCTCAGGAGGAGCTCAGTTCAGTTCCAGCCCTCACGGCAAAACCCCAGCCCTGTGTAGACAGCAGATCTGGCCAACTCAAAAGGAATGGGAAAGCTCTGAGATTTCTCCTCTCTGGTGAAAAACCTGATCTCACAGGAGGTAGAGCTCTGAAAAAAAGGAAAAAATGGACAGCACTTGGCCCTGTTGTGCCAGACCTCTGTGTAACAATATTTCTTGGCCATTGGGCTGTAACACAGCAAAAGCTTTGTAACTTTTTAAACACAAAATCTATTCTTTAATCTTCGGGCATTTTCATTACTGTTTACATACGGATCCCATTTTCTTGGCTTCAGTAAGAGCACAGAAATGATGCAATAAGTAATCAGAAAGAAAGGATAAAATAGCAAGTAAAGCAGTTACAGCTGAAACCTATGCAGAGCTCTTGGGGAAAGAAAACACCGACCAAAACCAAGCAAAAGGTAACACAGCTAAACTTTGCATGACCAGACTTGCTCAGTGATAAACACAAATGCAAAACAAACGTGGCTGTACATCTTACCTTGCATGCCTGATGGACCAAAATCCTGCCTCGTGAGGAAGATGGCGTGGTCGTGGTACTCCGCGTGCCCAGTGTCAGGTTTCTGCTGCAGGTAGGCCCAGCGACACACGTTCTCCAGGCTTTGTGAAGGGTTCCCAATCTCTATCAGACTCATAGACTGCACATGTTCAGGAAAAAAAAAGACACCAAGAGTTATTTATTAAAAGCCCGGGCTCCATGTGTAAAACTAAGCGTGCTTTTTCAGCTGTACTTGAATCATTACTTTCAGAAATGGACCTTTTCGATGACTGCCTTTTAAACTGCGTTTTCTTTATCTCATTACGCATGTGAAGATCATTCAGAGGGTAGAACATATAACTGTAGCAGCCATATATAGCAGCAGCCCTTTCTGTCTGATATAACTGTGGTGTGCCATTCTCCATGTAAACCACACATTACATGGGTGGTGTGCTGACACAGCTTGGCTGGCTCAAATGCTCTGACATGTTAGATGAGGTGCAAAGGGCTATTTTCTTGAACAAGAAAGAGAAGGGTATTTTGAAATGCAACTACTACATTTGCCTTTTTTTTTTTCTTTGCAATAGTACTTTTGTAAGAATTCTCAGCTTATTCTACTTAATATTGTGCACAGCTAAGACTTTAGAAAGCTTATTGTATGTGGGATGCTATAAAATGTATGACTAATTGACCTGTCCCAGGCCTTCCAGGATTTTTAAGAACTACATATGTGAACCCTGGCTTTCCATTTGCAAAAATTATATTACCATGACAACACTGTAATCATAACACAAACCACTACAATTTAGATGCTATACTCTAATGCAAGTATTTGTCATTCCAAAATACTTAATGGAGAGCAAAACCTACCCTAGGCCAAAAATAAGAGAGAAGTAATATAATTCGTGTTTAAATACAGATGAATTTGACGTGTCCTGTAATTGAGTGCATGATGAAGTACAGAGAATATTGACTACATGAAACAGAAAATCCTCAAAGGGTTGTGGAAGAACAACTGGAATTGATAAAAGAAGTGTCTGCCAAACTGAGGTCTGATTTTGGCAAAACTAAGATATTAGAATTCTGCAAATGTTCAGAAAAACAAATTAATAAACCAAATAGAGGCTCGGTTTGGATTCTGATACCACTGCGGAATGAAAAAGTTGTAATATAATCCTACGCTGGATCATACTGCTTCCAGCCATCATTCCCTTGGAAATTGAACTAATAACTGTATTTTAAATGGTGGGACAGTTGTGGTGCCTTTATTGCATCTTTGTGTATTTATAAGAACAGACTTAAAGAAACTTTGAGTCACTATTACAGGGCAAAATCCTGGCTCTTCAAGCAAAAATCCTAGTCAGTTAAACAGTGTCATGGTTTCAGCAAGGCCCAAAATCCAATTCCGATTCCTAGCCCCCCACCCACATCTCAACCCCATGTGAGATGGGTTTTTCCAGACAAAAACACGAGACTCAATATGGGGGAAGGAATATATTACAAAGACTATACACATAAATAAATACTATAATACATTGCATACAATCTTAACTCTATATCTATCTCTACCATGACAATAATATTTACAATGGGCCCAATCTCTTCTCCCTCCAAATAAAAGTCCAGGAGAGAAGAATAAGAAAAGACCCCTTCCAGTCTGTTAGCAGCAGGCTCTCTCTAGGCAGTAGGCTTTCTGTGTCTTCTCTTCTAGGCAGCAGTAGTAGTTGCTGGCTCTCTGCCAGCACACACGAGGGAGGTCTTCCAAGCCTCTCTCGGCCCCCGTCTTCAAACAGGGGGTCTTTCCATGGGCTGCGTAACCCCAGACACGGCCGCTACACCATGGTCATATCACGAAGCACCGGGGTCTTCGTGACGGTCTGGTATCCTCAGGGGAAATCAAGCCCCTGTGCAGAGCTCCCATGCTCTGCCTCAAAGATGGCTGCCAGCTTCTCTGAAGCTGGAGCAGGGGGGGCCAAGGTCACCCCCCACACACACACATTCCTTCGGCCGTCCTGGCTTATCTCTCAGGAGGCCATGAGCTTCCTAGCTCCTCTCAGCAGTGCATATTGCACTTTAGGACTCCTCTCAGTCCACCACCCCCTCCTCTTTTCTCGGAGGGGTCTCTAGTGAGTTTGGGGGTTTTGGTTTGTCCAGTTCTTACCCTCCAAAACTCTGTTCCTGCTGCTGGCTCGGTTCTACTCCTGCTGCTGCTTCTTCCTTCTCTTCAGACATCTCTGTGTCTTCCATGCAGCATACCGGCTTCTGCTGCTCCTTTTGGTCCTTATCAGTTGGCTCTTTGCCACTGCTCTTCGGACGCTGCTGTGTCTACTGCTGCTCCGTCTGCTCCCAGCGTCTCCCAAGGCTGCCTACCGGGAGAAATTCTCCCAGCTCTTAGCCACAGGCACTCAGCCCAGTTCTGAGTCCCTGCAGCCCCCCAACCGGGGGCTGGGGGGGCAAAGCCCCCTAAGGGGCCGGAGCCCCTTCTCCTCGTGGCCTCTACAACATGGCCACCTCTTCTTCTTCCAACAAGTACCACTGCTTCCTTTTCGGTCTCCAGAGATATGTTTATATTTTGCAGGAGCACTGATTGGTCAAGCCCCAAGGGTCACCACCCCCTGGGGGTTACCACTTTCTTAGTTTCAGGGGGAAAACCTGGTTCAAACCACTACAAACAGTTTGACCATTGCTGAGGTCTTCAATAGCATCCATCAGTGGTTAACCAAAAACAAACAAGCAAACAAGCACAAAACCTATCTACATCGTCTCCACTGTTCTCATTTCTCCAAAGCCACACAAAAGAGATCAATCCCTTCAAGGAGTTCAATGAGAAATCTGACTGCAAGACTCAAAAAGCAAAGAATGCTGTAAAATGAAGCTGAGAAATCTCCAGTTGTGTAGTGTTTGCTAATAGTTCCTTAACTCACAATGACCTCCCTCTGTACATTGTACCAAACGAAAATCATTACATCTTATAAGATGCATTGATCAGAAAACAAAGAAAAAATGCACACTATCAACATGTTCTTTGTTTAAGAATATCCAATTATTTGCAAAGAAATCTCTGACCAAAACGCTGATTTTAGTTTGTTTCCAAGCAAATGAAAGGAGCACCAACCAGTTAATGTGGAGCATTGTCGTGGGTTTGCATCCAACACAATGGGGAAAATGAAGAAAACCCCTTTGGCTTTGTAGGGGAAGCTGAGAAAAAACAAGTCTATAATACATTTCAGTTGACCCAATTTTTTTGCCAATGACACAATTTTAACATCAGAAATTTGGCACATAAAATTAAGCCTTACTGCTCTTTAAGTTGGGAAATGAGGCATCCAGTAGGAAGTCCATTATTTTGAGTGTCCATGTCCTACAAATGTAAACAGCGAGTTGAGGTCCTGTGTCAGTGAGGAGGACTTGCAAAGAGTGAGAGGGAAAACTCAGTTCTACCTGCTGAGTACTGAAAGTCCACTGAGCACTCAAGTCATCTGGCCACTAATCCCTTGTCTTTCCTCACAGTAATGTAACAGCCTGAAAACAGAAACCCATTTGATTCCTAGCAAATTTTCACCTGAACTCCCACTTTCTGCAAATTGCCAAGGGCTTTCAAATCAGAAAGGCTGCAACAGTACTAACAGCAAATCCTGCATGGCCAGAGAACCATCAATGTGACAGTGAGTCAACCTCACTGGGCTATGAAACTGCTCTGGCTGCAACCAAAGAACCACATATACCATGGTTGTCATCTGACAGTAGGCAATGGGATGTCCAGGGAAGGGAATTAGAGGAGCACAAATATAGTGTAGTGTTTCCCTCTAAATAACTTCCAAGGCTCCAGTGGTCTTTGGATCAGAGATTTCCTAAGCCAGATATGCCTTTATATTGCATTTTTATCTGCTTTTCCAGCTGCCTTGCTTTTACAGATAAATGCTGCTGTCCTGCAAGAAAGGAGCTCAGGAAATCATGGGACCCGGCAGAACTTGTTAGTAGACAGGGCAGATGTCATATGTTTTGGAGGGATGTTGTCCAAAAAATTACTCTTGTAGAGATGTCAGAGAACACTTGATAATATTTACTGTTGGAAGTCAATGGGGAGCTTTCATCAGACTCAAGAAAGCCCAACCCCTTATTAAATGGACAAAGCAAAAGGAGAAGGAGAACAAGAGATGAGCTGTGTACAGTAATAAGGACTGTAAGGTAAAATCCCTCTTTGTCACACTGCAAACAGAGAAAGTTTGGGGGCCAGCAGGCTGCACATGGAGAAGAGGTGTAGGTGTTACTGTTGGCCAGCAAAGGGCCTGCACTGCCAGGAACACGCAGGTCCTGCAGCTGGCTGGGAGCTCTGACCTGGCTGGGAAGGACCTCTTTCCAAACAGGACAGCAGGCCTGTGGAGAGCATTACTCAGCTGATCAGTAGGAAAACTGCCAATGGAAAGAGAAACTTTCCTTCTCACAGCAAGAAAGGCAAAAAACTCTCTGAACTGCTGATGGAAACAGATGGAGATGTTGGCCAAGAAGTGGAAAGGGCTGAGCTGGGAGAACATCCCCCAGGCGAGGAGACACCACAGAGGGTTATGAGGACAATCTGCCCTAGAGAATCAGCTGAAGCCCTTTCTCTGGGAAACTCAACATCTACCAATGCTTTCCATTTGCCTTCCTTTTTTGATTCTGCCTTCAGTTCTTCTTCACTCCCTTCCTTAGATGGAAGCAGCAGAAAAAAACTAAAAAAAATAGAAGACAACTGAGCTGCAACTACCATTCATACAAAGAGGCAAAGAAGGGCATTGAGAAAGTGTTGAGAGTCATTAGAGAGGTCTTTGAGCCCTCTTTGCCACCTGTCTTGTCCTTTGGGAAGTTATCAGTGTGATGTTCAGTTCTCTCACATGAAGACACTGAAGAACAAGTCACTCATGAAGCTGACTGAAAGGTCCTTCAGATCCTTGTGGGGATTGTTGGACAAGTGGGAAATATGAGATTTTTTTTTCTTTAACAATTTCAAAGTCATCTTAGAAGAAAACTGCAAATTTAGACTATGTTCTACCCAAACCTTTCAAGAATGTTCACGCTGCCAGCCCATGTGAAAGACAGACAAGTATCACCACAAAATGGCAGCTCCCCTTAATGAACTGTTTTATTTATCTGTCATTTGGCATCACTGGGTACAAGCTT